AGACAGTGTCCTGCCCACGGCCAAAACCACACAGATTAAATATCAGGCTTAATAAAGCAAATCATGGAAATCTCATAAATATAAGAACAAACTCAACTGAGCAGAAAACTAGAAAAATTAAATGTGGGTTGTTGAACATTAGATCCATTTTTTCTAAGACTTTGTTAGTTAATGACTTGATTTGTGATAATCAGATCTCTTTGCTCTCTCTCACAGAATCCTGGCTGCAGCAAGAGGACTATGTTAGCTTAAACGAGTCGACTCCTTCAAATTATTTAAATCATCATATTGCTCGAAGTACAGGGCGAGGAGGAGGAGTAGCAACCATTTTTCATTCAGACTTATTAATCAGTCCCTTACAGATTAATAGCTACAGTTCATTTGAACATCTTATTCTTAGTTTTCCTAATCCAGATTGCAAAACTGTAAAACCACTCTTGTTTGTAGTTTTATATTGTCCACCAGGCCCTTACTCTGAGATTTTGGATCAGATCTCTGATTTTTTATCTGATTTGGTGCTAAATACTGATAAGGTCATTGTAGTGGGGGATTTCAACATTCATGTGGACATTGAAAATGATAGCCTCAATGTAGCCTTTAGTAATATCTTAGACTCAGTTGGTTTTACTCAAAGAATACATAGCTCCACCCACTCCTGCCAACATACATTGGACCTTGTTCTGACTTATGGCATTGAGTGTGAGGAAATACCAATATTTCCACATAATCCAGTCCTCTCGGACCACTTTCTGATAACCTCTGAGTTTTTTATAACTGAGTTCTCGAGACATGAAAGTAAATTTCACTATAGTCGGTCTCTATCTGACAACGCAGTTGCATCTTTTAAATCAACTGTTCTATCTTTACTGTCCTCAGCATCTCAGAGGAACGTAGCAGAGGGAAATATTTTCAGTTCTAGCCCCTCACAAATTGATGCCTTAGTTCATCATGTTAATTCCTCTTTACGTGTGGCATTAGATGATGTTGCCCCTTTAAAAAGGAAGGTAATTAGGGACAGGAAGTTGGCTCCCTGGTTTAACTCTCATCTACGAGCCTTAAAACAAAACTCTAGGAAATTGGAGAGAACATGGCGCTCTACGCACCATGAGGAGGCCTACCTGTCCTGGAAAAATAGTCTTGTGCTTTATAAAAATAAGCTTCGACAAACTAGAACTGCTTATTTTTCAGCATTAATTGAGGATTTATAAGCATAATCCTAAATTTCTTTTCAGTACAGTTGCTAAACTTACACAGAATCATAGCTCTGAGCCATCTATTCCCTTAGCCCTCAGCAGCAATGACTTCATGGGACTTTTTACAAGTAAAATTAATTCTATTAGAAACAAAATCTTTAGCATCCTCCCTAATGTGATTTCTTCTTCCTCAGTAAGTGAGGCAGCATCAGAGGTGACTCTAGAACCTCATCTGTGCTTGAACCGTTTTGATCCAGTTGAGCTTTCAGAGTTATCAAAAATATTAGCTTCATCTAAACCTTCAACTTGCATTTTGGATCCAATCCCAACCAAACTATTTAAAGATGCATTTCCTTTGGTTACTGCCCCCATTCTAGATATAATCAATCTATACTTAGTAAATGGGTATGTACCTCAGGATTTTAAGGTTGCTGTAATCAAACCTTCACTTAAGAAGCCTTCTCTGGATCCAGATGACCCAATGAATTATAGACCAATATCTAACCTTCCATTTTTATCCAAAGTCCTGGAGAAAATAGTGGTCATCCAAGTATGTCAGCATTTAAACACTAATGATCTGTTTGAGGAATTTCAGTCTGGTTTTAGAGAGTATCACAGCACTGAAACTGCATTAGTGAGAGTTACAAATGATATTCTCATGGCCTCAGATAAGAATCTTGTGTCTGTTCTAGTCTTGTTAGATCTCAGTGCTGCCTTTGACACAGTTGATCACAATGTTCTTTTAGAAAGAATTGAACATGTTGTAGGGATCAAAGGAACAGCGTTAGGCTGGTTTAAATCCTACCTGTCTGACAGATTTCATTTTGTAAATGTACATGACAAATCGTCTTCATACTCCAGGGTTACTTGTGGAGTACCACAGGGTTCAGTGCTCGGACCAATTCTTTTTACTATATATATGCTCCCAATTGGTAAAATCATTAGACAGCATGGGATAAACTTCCACTGTTATGCTGACGATACTCAGTTATATTTATCCATTAACCCTGATGAACCTAATCGGTTGGGTAGATTACAGGCTTGTCTTGAGGACATAAAAAATTGGATGACTCTAAACTTTTTGCTTTTAAATCAAGACAAGACGGAAGTTCTCATCTTTGGACCAGAAATCCAGAAAAGGAAATTGCTTAGCCAATCGCCTGACCTGAATGGCATTACATTAATCTCCGAGAACAAAGTAAGGAACCTTGGTGTTATCTTTGACCAGGACATGTCATTCAAATCCCAGGTTTCACAAGTTGGTCGGATTTCCTTTTTCCACCTTCGGAATATTGCTAAGATTAGAAGCATCCTTTCCAGGAGTGATGCTGAAAAACTAGTTCATGCATTTATTACATCAAGACTGGATTACTGTAATTCATTACTCTCAGGAAGTCCACAGAATGTAGTTAAAAGTCTTCAGCTTGTCCAAAATGCTGCAGCTCGAGTTCTGATGAGAATTAAAAAGAGAGATCATATCTCTCCTGTCTTAGCTTCCCTACATTGGCTACCTGTTAAATTCAGAATAGATTTTAAGATCCTTCTTCTCACATATAAAGCTCTTAATAATCAAGCTCCATCATACATCAGTGATCTGATTGTTCCATACGTTCCTAACCGAGCACTTCGCTCTCAGACTGCAGGTCTACTGGTGGTTCCCCAGAATATCTAAAATTAGGATGGGAGGCAGATCTTTTAGTTATCAGGCTCCTCTCCTGTGGAACCAGCTCCCAGCCTTAGTCCGTGAGGCAGACACTTTGTCTACTTTTAAGAATAGGCTTAAAACATTTTTATTTGATAGGGTCTATAGTTAAAATCTGATGTTAGCCTAAATCTGGACAAGTGGGGGAGTAGAGGGAGGTGGAGTGTACAGTCGGTAAAGACGGCTCTCCCTTGCCCTGACTCCAACATGCCTCCATCTAAATAGGATAGATTATCCAGAGTTAACTCTGTAGTTATGCTGCTATAGGCTTAGACTGCTGGAGGACACACTGACCACTTTTCACACTCTACTGCTTTCTTCTACAATCTGCTCTTTAATTGTATTATTTCCTGCTATTTCAGCTGTTAACTTTATTTTCTCTCTAAGTGTTTTTCTCCCCAGAAGAAGCTACAACGATGTTCTGCTGAGCTGTGGTGGCCTCATGGAGGGGGCCATCGTCTAGCACACTGCTGCTAACCACTAAAACATTCTCCCTCTGCTGATAATAACTTTTTGCTTTCCTTGACGTTGGATGTGCTACTACTAGTTTACCCGTTTAATTATAGATCCACTAGGATAAATACAATAAAGTTCATCTCTCACCAAATAGAATATTTACTAAGACATCACAATATAACCATAGACACATTACTTTGTGTGTGTGTGTGTGTGTGTGTGTGTGTGTGTGTGTGTGTGTGTGTGTGTGTGTGTGTGTGTGTGTGTGTGTGTGTGTGTGTCTGCTCTGTCTTCTCCATCCCCAGTGAGTCGTGGAGGATGGCTGCTTATACTGAGCCAGGATTCTCTGGAGGTTTCTTCCTGTTAAAAGGGAGTTTTCCTCTCCACTGTCGCTTTATGCTTGCTTAGTATGAGGATTGCTGTATAGTCACTGACACTAGTCAGTGACTCGATGCAATTTGCTGGGTTCCTTATATAGGAAACATTATTTCTGACTGGCTTAATGAACTGACCTGAATTGGAATGTTTATTATGTGAAGTGCCTTGAGACGACTCTTGTCGTGATTTGGCGCTTTATAAATAAACTTGAATTGAATTGGAGTGAAAGTGAGGGTTTTCCCACACCTGCACAGAAAAGATTTAGCCACATTAAGCTCAGCTGGCTAAATCTTTTCGGTGCACCCATGCCACTTCCACCCCATCGAAACAGACCTTCTCTGCAGCTGGAAACATCTGCTCTCAAGAGAGCAAGTCTTTCTCCAGAACATGTCGAAGCGCTAACTTTCCTGACTGAACAAGAGCCCTGTGTAGGAATAAAGACTATTTTAGCTGGATACACTTGTGAACACAAGTCATTTTTGTGTACCGCTTATATTTGGGTATACGTGCCTACCTCCATTACCAGGTTACAAAGTTAATTAAAGTTGTTGATAAGCTATAACTGTCTTTATTATTAAATGGTACATAACTGATCACACTTCAGGCTAGAAGCGAATGATGGTCTATTAGAGCATCTTGGTGCAATAAGCTAAACTTTATGCAGGACACAACTAGTTGACTAATAGATAGTCATTTGTGGGTGCCCTAATTTGAACCCCGATCACCCGGTCCCAGGGCGGACACTCTACCACTGAGCTGGTTAACTGGAATTACTTACTGGTTACTAAAATCTGTTGTTAGCTTGAAAATCAGCAGAAGGGGAAAAAAACCATCTTGAAGGGTCTGTTATGTCTCAGAAGCCCTGAGAATTTGTGTGTGTGTGTGTGTGTGTGTGTGTGTGGGGGGGTCTTTGTCCAGCTACTAGCTCAACTGGATTCCAGACTTCACAGAGTCCAGAGGAAATGGTCCTGTTCCCAAACACAAACTATTTCCATCCCCCAATGACCTGCTCCGTGGGAGCCCCCGCTCTCACTTCCGCACAGTTTAACAGCCCAGCCGCTCTGCAGCCAGCACAGCTCGTGCTCAAGAGCTCTTTAATCAACAGGATTCATACGAACAATTACAGGCAGACTGTAAACTGGCTGACCTGAAAGATGTGCGCAGAGAAAATATTCAGAAGAAAAACGGACAAAGTTAAAAACGCACTCTTCCACCCACGCTTTAATGCATGCATCAACACCAGAGGGTCAAGATAACCAGCACACACTTACCTCTAAGGCCAGGGCGGTCTTGTCGTAGGCATTGGGCACCCTCTTCTGTATGACCCTGGCATAGACAGGTCCGTTCTGGAGATTTGGCAGGGGAGTGGGCTGGGCGTACTGGCTGGGGTCTCCCAACAGTGGAGTACCAGACGGTGCAACAGAGCCATCAGAGTTCCCAAGCACCACCATCCCACCCGGTGACCCCCCAGGGCCCACCATTGAGTTTGGCGATGCAGGTCGATACTTCTCCACGTACGGCACTGGGATCATCCCTGTTCGACCGTCAGCATTCTGGGCATTCCACCACTGCTCCTCCGGCTTCTCCAGAACTCGTAGTACATCCCCCTTCCTAAATGGAAGATCCTCTTCATCATTGCCTGGGAAATCAAAAAGCGCTCGGACATACTCATCCTCCAAGCGTGGCGGGGGTCCGCCACCAGGGCCCGTGCTCATGAAGGAGGAATGTTTGGATTTGTTGATGGGTTCTATCAAGGTGGTGGTATCCAAGTAATGGATCTTGTAGAACTCAAGCAGCGCCGGAAGAGCATCGAACTCCTGGTCTCCAATACGGAACCTGGGATGGATCATACCTGGCCCAAAAGAAACAAAGAGAGAATTCACAAACGCATCTTCAGCACCTGCTCTGATGTTCGCAGCTCCTTCTGTGAGCCCAGTTATGGTCATCAGGCATGACGCTGGTTTCCAGAATGAGGGCATATTTTAATGATCAGATTATGCACTTGTTCTTCAACATGAACATCTCGTATGAAAGAACATTATGATAATTTCAGTAGATGCATCTGAAAAAAAAATCATAATTCAGGGCAGAAACTAAACGGGTAGTTAGTTGTTATAATAATAACTATAATTATAATAATGTAAAAGAGCTTATGATGTATTGGGGGGTCACGTCTGAATGGTACTGTCTGCCATGTCCCCCACCAGTCAGTAAATGGGACGATTGCGCATCTTTTTTGGTGCAAGTCATGCAAGAACGGTCACATTAGCACCACCACCACATCCCCAGCCCCTCCGCTCTTACCCGGTCCGGACTGCCGGTTGTTGCTGATGCTGTTGATTATGTAGTGCGAGACTTTGGAGTTTTCTGACACCGACAGGACGTAGTCTCCGGGGCTGGTGATGGAGTCCCGGACCAGAAACACGCCGTGCCGCTGCCCCTGCAGCAGAGACACAGCCTCCTGCCGGCTCAGGCGACCCCAGTACCAACTCCCACGGTCCTCCGCGTCAAAATTTCCGGCCATGATAACTACTCCAAAGCCGAGGCTTCACCGGGCCTTTCCTTCTCTCCCTCCCGCTAGCCACCCGCGGAGCCTTCAACTCATACAACAAAACTTTAGCGCCCGAAGCACGTTCAGTAAACAGGCGACATGATCCGCAGCCGCTGTTTGCGCATCAAATCCTCCAGACTGCCGCTAAAGCGCGTCGGAAGCGACTCCGGTTTGCACTGGGGTCAGACTCGGGCTCCAGCGGTCACCAAGTCCGACTCGGAGTCTGAATTCCTGCTGCAAAGCCAACCGCCGCTGAGAACTAACTTCAAAAACTGAAATGGCGGATACGGGAAAACAAAAAGGCCCCACTCACCGGATGTGACGTCGGCGTTGGGCAGAACGCGTAAATTAAATGAGAAAAAACTGTACATCACTTCCGGTTTTATAGAAACAAGGGCCAGCTCTAACCCATGCCATAAGAAGAGGGTTTTGTACGCAGGAGCGTCACTTTTATTAGTAGATCTTATTAAATTGTACACTTTAGCGACTTTTTTTGCTCACGTGCTGTTTCATCCTGTCTGCAGTGCGGCACACCAAACTGTAGGATGTTCTCCCAAATATATATAAAATATAAAGCTAGTCTGTTTTAATCCGAGTACCCGTGGCAGTTAGCGGCACTGTCCACCAGATGTCAGAAAAAGAACATTTTCCTGGTTTCATGTTGATTTGGTTTGATTGGCACTCGGAGTCTTAGACCAAGTCCTTCTAGGTTCAGATGGAGAGCTCACCACTCTATGAAGGTGGTTTTAAGGACATTTTCGTGCTTCCGTTATTTAGGATTTGCACTATTTTCTTCTTGAGGCCAGTTTCCTCCAGGGACTTTTGCATGACAAATGTATGCTCATTCTGCAACACAAATAAAACAAACTGCCACTCCAGAGTTTATCAGTCGTTTGCAATCACACGAAGATTTCCATTTGTCTTTCTTACATAAAAAAGTCAGAGTCTTTAGAGCTGGAACGGATTCTTCTTGCCTTGCTCATTTCTATAGATTTATATTTTCCGAGACACATCCTCTCATAATGATATCTGAGATAAACCCTAACGTGTCTGACTTTGGTCTAATCTATCTGAGTTCACGGACCCCAGAGTGTGTGAACGTTATCATTGATTTCTTGCGGTTTCTACTGATAAACATGGTTGAAATGGTTTAGTTTTTTTTTGCTGATGACTCAGTACAGAGCCATGTTGTCACACCCCTGCAGCCCCAAACAAGCCACCGGTTTGTTATGCACTGAAATGGCTTAATGCAGAAGAACAAACAGAGCTGAGCACAGATGGCATTTTCATACGTTAATATTTCATTAAAATGGCCTGTATTTGATATAGCGCCCCCTAGAGTCATGGAACCCCCCAAGGCTCTTTACAACACAATCAGTCATTCACCCATTCACACACACATCCACACACTGATGGTGATGAGCTACGATGTAGCCACAGCTGCCCTGGGGCGCACTGACAGAGGCGAGGCTGCTGAACACAGGCGCCACCGGTCCCTCCGACCACCAGCAGCAGCAAGGTGGGTTAAGCGTCTTGCCCAAGGACACAAAGACAGCGACAGACTGAGCGGGGCTCGAACCTGCAACCTTCCGATTACGGGGCGAGCGCTTAACTCCTGTGCCACCGTCGCCCACGTATGTCTTTGCGGGCATCATCATGAAAATAAAACAAAGGTTGGTTGCTTTCTTTATTTTTGTAACATAGAATTTATTATTTAGCTCCATGGAAAAAACAACAAATTCTATGCTTTTACAAACCATCTTAACTTTGAATAAATGCAGTTTTCTTTCAGAAAGTAACAACATTACAGGGTAATCAGTTAGAAGCCTGTGATAAGGAGATAACTGTGGATGAAACAATCCAAGGCAACTGTCCGTCATGTCTCCAAATGCAACGTTCACTTTTTCTTTTCTCATTTTGCAGAAAGTCAGCAGCGTCCTTGAATGCAACACCCATGTAAAGCTCCTGGTTTTCTCTGGGATGAACATCATGATCGTCTTATTGTAACATGAAGGACCAGAGAGAGCCTGCAGAACAACAACATGACTGCACCTCCCGTGAACATGGACTCAATCACAAACCTGGGTTATACACCGTCAATCAGAGGATTTCAAATCAGAGCGCACGGCGCGATAATTCAGACTCCTGTGTGAGCGCTTTGATTTCACATGCCATTGACGGTAGAAGCAGCAGACGTGTGCATAGTTCATTAAAACATCTGCTCACATCTGTGCAGCCAGTCCCAGTGTGGTCACAGCAAAGAGGAGCCTAACCCCAGCAGGCCTCAACCATCAGCCGTACACGACGCCGCGGCAGAAAGAACACAGATTTACACATTTACAGTCAAACTGAAAGTACGTGTTCATTACATGCCAGATGATGGCATCACTTGTGTAGGCCTGTTATGATTAAAGGGATCATTCTGATCAGTAAGTTGAGACAGACTTTGCAGACACAAGCGAATACTAGCTAAGCTCATTTAAAGGGATTCGTGTCATTAATGAGGGGAAAGGAGCCATCATGTTGTGTTCGTGGTCCTGACCTTGTAAGGCTTTACTAAACACAAAACACTGTTTTCACTTTGGTCAGTAGTATTTGGTAGGTCTAAATCAGGGTTGCACGGTATTTCATCCTTGCTATAAATTGATTGAATGAATGAAGTTATGGCTTTTATCATCTAATGAGCCACGCTGGAGACTTTTCAGACCTTTAGGTTCAGGTCTAGACTCAGATGGTCTTGTGAAGCTGCTCTTACGTGTTCTCGGTTTTGTGCCTCGGGTTTCCTTTCTGATGTAAACCGTTTACCAAAACCTGAAGCCCTGAAGCCTCCAGAAACCGCTGTAGCGAGCACTGCGTTACTCTCTGTGTGCAGTAGCACGTCCCCAAACCCATCACCATGTTTACAACAGGAGTGATTACCATGTGGTAGTGCCTGTTACATCTCGAGTGATGCACTTATAAAATACCCTAGTCCTTCTGTCAGATGAACTAAAAATTACTCCTGGTTTTTGAATCATTAGAGATCCTTTTGATTTGTGTGTGACTATAAAACAGCCCTTTGAATCTATTTACTCAGATCCACCTGTCCGGTCCTACATCTGCACCGGCGAGCTGGCAGTGCCAATCAGGATATAATCAATGAAAATAAAACGGTTTATTAGGTCTGTTTAGCAGACGAATCACAGTGGTTAGGATGCACGGGTGGGCTGCGGGGACATTGCACGCTGATGGAAAAGATGGGCAAGCAGATTTGTGGAGCTCGATCAAGAAACGTCCTTAAATCGAGCGGCCCCTGGCTTCAGGCTGCAGTGAAGAGAGACGCTGTGGGCTGCGAGATGATACAAGACATAAGTCTGACTATCTGGGTGTCTGGTGTTGAGAAGAGAGTCCAGCCCGTCACCAGGCCGCCCTAACCCTGTTTGCTGTAGTGCTGCATTTGATGTGTTGGTGAAATGAAAGTACAGCACTTAAAGCAGATAAACCATTTAAATATCGATGTATCTGATACACAAGGCCAACCAGCAGCCCCTCGTTTCACCTAAAGCAGGCTAGAGAGGATCATCAATGGCTGTTGTCTTAAAAAGCTGCTCCCTAAACTTCAGGATGTGGGATTAAATACATCAGACCTTTCAAACGGATTATTTTTAAAAGCTTGTTTTAGTTTTGAATTGTTCAAAGTCCCAGTTACTGCTAAAAGCTTCAGAGTCACAGCAGCTGTCTGTCTACTCAGTCCCTTTAAAACCCTCTAATTCATATTAACACATGCACCGGTTATTTAATATGTATAGAAAAATAGGCATTAAATCGCTTTAGACACTCTTTTCCTACTGCTGCTGAAGCAGATGTTGTTCTGTGTCTCGGTACAGCTCCACAGGTGACTGAGGTATAGTTTGCATTAATAAAACGGAGCTTAGTTTAACTTCAAGGCTTTCTCCTCCTACCAACAGGATCATTCCACCTGTTTCAGATAAACTAACATCCTAATTCAGACACACTCACATGAATATGTATATAAAACGTGTATAGAGGGAGATACGTGAGCTGAATCAGAGATCCAGAGGTACATTTTACTAGTTAAAGCTCTGTGTGTGTGACAGCTACTACCCTCCTAGCTTTCTACCTGAATGCAGTCGCAGCAGAGGGGCTAGATACGAACACAACACAGCCCCCCAGAGAGAAGCATGGCCCCGACGATGAGAAAAAGGCCCCTACATATTTCATATTTGCTACTGAAGACACGGTCATGCGATTAGCGCATCTATCCTCTGTACAGCTCTGCTTTCTCTCCTGGACTGAAGGCCTTTTGCACCCTCGGCTCTCAGCCATCACACCTTTGCAGCAGCAGGGTCTTCCTCAGGAATTTCAGCTTATCAACACGTTCATACCACTCCTGTCTGATCCAGCTGTCAGACTGCACAAAGGGAGGGAAATGTTTAGTTTTTTGACATTATCCTTATAGCTTTTGTTAATAATTGATCTTTCAAGGCCCTGATTGGTTCTGCATGTCTAAGATTTCCCCCCCGGCCAGCCTGGTTTTACCTCTCAGGGCACACATTACCCTGGGAACCAGAGGTGTCACAGGCACGTGGGTATTATCATCATTACAACGGAGGACCTGCATAATGTATAGTATCCTGTACAGAAACGCCTCTGGTGACGTACTTAGTTTATTCTGCGTCCTAAGTCACAGGTGTTCAGAGTAAAAGGTGTTGTCCGTGGGCTCAGCAGTCAGACGGTCAGCATCTGAAACATCAGGTAGGTCTTTCCTTCCAAATCAGATCACCGGAGGACGTGTCAAACCTGGTGATCACATGCAAAGCTGCAGCCTTCCCTCAGACAACCATTCTGTCCACTCAGGACGAGACACGGGAGGAGAAACGTACGCGTCAGGGAACATCAGTCAAGTGAAAGGGTCTGATTGGCCTCGCAGGTCCTCCTCCAACTCCCTCATTGGCTCCACTGCTCTAGAGGAGTGTTGTGATTGGCTGGAGCAAGACAGGAGGGATGAGTGGCTCTGTGTGTCATCCTCATCCACCACCACTGCGGCCCTGCGTTCCTTCTGAATCTCACTGTTCCATGCCTCCTTCTCCTTTTCTTCTTCCTCCCCGCACCTTCGTTTCCTGCTCCTCCTTGCTACTCTCCTATGATCTCCTATGGTCCACATGCTCTCCTCGTCATACTCCTTTCCTTGCGCCTCCCTGTCAAAGTCCAGCAGTTCTTCCATCATCTCCTCAATCTCCGTCTCTCCATCCATCTCCTCCACCTCTGACCGGAGCTCACCCATACTTTCAGTGCGGTTGGTATCATCCGTCTCCTCCTCGTCCCCAACACCCTTTAGTCTTTCCGGGGGATCGCTGGCCTGGCTCTCTCCGAACTCTAAGATGGTTGGTAAGTTGCCCTGCTTGGGACATCGTTTCCTCAGGCTGACCAGGAAAGGCTGCGGCAGTGAGAAAATGTCCACGTTATTCCCCAAGTCGATCCAAGTCACACTCGGGAAACTGTTTGGATCCTGCAGACAAAATTAATCAGGAGTTAACTACAACCAGATCGTCACCATCTTTGATGCAATCTTTTCACAAAATCTAAGAAAATGTGTGCTTGGCAGATCTTTTTATCTCTGTAAGTAACGTTGGGTTATGCTTAAAGGGAAAACTCCACCTGATCAAAGTGAAGCCAACACGGAAGTGACAAAAATTGCAGTTCCCCCCTCATCCACTAGAGGCTGGCTCCAGAAAGGAGCAAATTCCCGTTCACTCCCATGTTAAAAATGCCAACTTCACAGTGTTTCCCCTAGCTTTGGTCAGCTGTGTCTTAAATGTGCTTTATGAATAAAGGATGGGTGTTTACAGCCTGGTACAAAACACCATCTCATCAGTCGTCATGACAACTCTGTAGGGGATGGATTATTTTAACCCATCCAGATAAATGTAATAAAGCTTGAAATCATGAATAATTAGGGGCGTGCCCCTTTGGTTGACAGGTGAGCCGTCAGAGCGAGCAGCTTGCCTCCTGCTTGCTCCAGGGAAGGCCTCAGTCTCGGCCTCCCATTAAAAGTGTCACAGCCTTGAAGACACAGGGTTGCAGAGTCGCTCAACTGTGGATGCATCTGGATGAAACCGCCCACCAGCCTCTGCTAGCTTTGGTTAGCTCACTTGGCTCATAGCTACATTGTCTCCGAGTTTGATGGATGTCAATCATCTGGCCCCGCCCTCACAGCCCTGCTAAGCTCCATTGTTGTGTTTTCCTGGAGATGCGTGACGCAGCCAAGATGGCGATGATGGGAACCGCTAACTGGGCGTCAGTCCAACTCTTCAAAAAGGTGACAGCATGGAGGGTTTTAACATCTAATATGTCACTGGTTATATCTATAAAATTAAGCATTACCACTGTTTCTGTGTTTCTGAAGCTGAGAGTGAATACCAACAGCAACCCTGATCCCAGTTTCACACGGCGAGCATCAGCGGAACGGAACAGCAGCGGAGCGGCTCACTCGCCAACTTCAACGCGGTCCTTTTCACACCGGGAGAGTCTCGGCCACGGCACGGCTTCCTCGCTGTACCCGCGAGACTGTAAAATCCCTCGAGACTTCCGACACCATCCTCATCGAGAGATCCCAACCCCCGCGAGGAATCACACCGTTGCACGACGTGTCCCAGAAGCGGCTCGCGGAAAACATAGAACTCGATCCTATCTTTAGCGGCGCGGCGTGGCATGCCGCTTCTGGGACGCGCCTGAAAAGTGGCGCATCGCGGCTGGTTTGAAACACTCCATAGACTATATTTGGATTTATTTGAAGCGGTGCCGCTTCGCTGCCGTTCCGTTCCGCTGATGCTTGCAGTGTGACCCCGGTCCAACTCTACCTGCTCCGTGGGAGTTTGAAGTTCTACCTTTTAGTAAAGATGGCTAAACAGGATTCCCAACAGTAGAAGATACATCGCCAACAAATGAGAAGACAGTCGGCGGCCAAGGTCCAAGTTTGTTGTTGGCAGATGAAGGGAAACGTTCATGAAAACATTAACAACACCTTTCTGACCTTTAGGGCATCCGTGAGCTCCTTCAGAATGGCTCTGGTCAGCCTGTTTCCATTCAGAGCCAGGGTCTCCAGGTGTGGCAGTGAAGCCAGCGTGGGGAGGAGCTGGAGGAATGCCTCATCTGTCAGCTCAGTGAAGCCCAGCTCCAAGCTGACTACGGTGGACGCATGGCGCTGCAGGTGTGCACACAGACGCTCCATGTCTCGAATGGTCAGAGGAATCCCCGAGAGATCCAGCGCCCCGGTGGACAGCGGGTCCGTCAGCACTGCCTTCACACTACAATCAAGAGATGTGAGAAAATATGACAACCCATCTACATTAGTGTGCGTTTCTTTGTGTAGGGCTGGCAAATGGATTACTTATTTGTACTTGAGACCAGGAAGATGTGATATTCTACACGAATATAAGATATTATTACCTTGCTTGATGTTTATTGTAAATATCAGACGATTATAGGGCTTAATCGGAAGGTTCTAGGATTTTTGCTTTATTAGGTAATTATACACACTTCGTTTTGATTCAGAAAAGAGTCAGGTTCATAAAGTAAGAAATTATTTTATTACAATTATAACACGACAAGTGAACTACGCATTTCCTGTGACTGGATGCAGCTAAATGCGATGAAGGCTATGTGTCAATGTGATGTAGGTCAGAACTTCCGAATCTCGGAGAGCGGCGTCTGCGGATGAAAAAGAATTTTCGGTGGATCGGAAAGTCACAGGGGCCGGCTGACCGCCGGCACCGGAGGGCCGTAGAACACCGTGGTACCGACTCTTCAGTCCAGAGAGGTCTCGGGTCACGACAGCTGGATGGAACCGCGCGTCTGGAGGACTCTTCAGGAGTCTAATAATAATATCAGCTTGTTCTGCAGGAGCTGTTTAGCTGTCTCAGCTCTGCAGGTGCAAAAAGGTCTTGACGACGTGCCAGAACCTTTGATGGTTAAAGAGGTTGCGACAGGTGGCCGGTCTGAAGCGTTCTCTTTTACTAACGAATCACTCAGCATGATCCAGTTTTAAGGTTTTGATGTTATGACTTGCACGGCCAATCAGAGGCTGACAGCTTGGGAGATGTTACCAAGACAACTCAGAAACACGCCTTCTTGATACCGGATGTTCTGACTGGTTAAAAGGGCAAGTTATGTGTCGGAGTTTAACTTGTTATTGTGTGATGTTATGGACCTGTCGTCTAAACACGCTGAACACACTGCAGTGGTAGACTTAACATGACATTTCCTCCACTGAGCACAGATTAATGAAGCATTCCATAATAATGTGATTGTAAGTGGTAATAAACAGCTTTTATTTAATGATTATCGAGATTATGAGTCATGGAAGAAGTTCATATTGATGTAGGAAATCATTCTTGATTTTAGCACTTGATCTGAGCTGGAGTTGTTCCTTCTGTGGAGGCAGACAGATGGGACCTTGGGAAAGAAAGTTATTGTTTATCTTTCAGACTTGCAGAGTCTGTGAGTCCCAGCTGGTGTGAAGGCGGACTCGTTTAAAGGGAACACGTGCAGTGTTGTGCCTCCTTTCTGACCAGATGTTGAACAGATGTTGGAAGGTCAGACTGTACCTAAAACTGCCCATTGCTGGACGTTACGTTTGTACACTTTATACTGATGTGTTCATATGCAAGCACATGATGATGTTATAAAATAAAATCTCACACTGAATACAGCAGTCTCCTCCTCCTCCATCGCTCCAACATCACACTTTTAAAACTGAACAAACGATTTAAAAAATGTTTTGCATTTGATTTTTTTCCATCATTTACTGAGACGAGTGCACCAAACTAATGGATCGACCAACCTTTCAAAAAGGGCTCCATCTCAACGAATCCTGCCTACAACAGACTCCCGCCCAACCAGAGGAAGGGCTTACTTTTCCCTCTTCTGACCAAAAATAAAAACTATATCATCTAAACACAATTAAAATGTGCTTTTAGGTATTCCAGCAGATGTTGGGTGTAAGCATTTTAAAAAGGAATAATTCAGACAAAGATATGACGATCAGTTTCCAGGTGATAATACAGCACCACTGATGCAGCTTACAGTAATTCTCATCCATGATCAGCCGTATCACAGCTGACCATCAAGCCACTGAGTCCGATTCTACTTCCAGGTCCATCATGGAACTGGCGCCAGTCCAGAGGGTGTGTCTGTGTCATAACTAATCCCGTTGTATTGATGGGTCTGGTTAGTTTAAGATTACAAAGGAGGTCAACTAAAAATGGGAAATGCTCAAACATGAAAACCATCGACCTGAGAGACCAGCTGCATCTGGTGGGAAAGACACGGAGTGACCACACCCTTGAAGGCCAAGCAGGCCTCTAACCTGTCTTACTCAACGAAAACTCAACCAAGTCCACGCTTGATCCTGTGGGAACAGAGAGGCATGCTGGCGGAAGCCAGCTTTGAGAGATCTGCTCCTCAGCCGCTAGCTGGAGCTAAAGGTGAACTCAGGAGGATCCAGCGGAGTAAAAAAGGGCTGATCTGGAGTCTGCCACAAAATCTGATGTAAAGTGTTCTCTTTGTTCCAGCTTGCAAATGGAAACATCACCAGCAGGTCCCAGCACCAACAGACCCGTGGACCCAGTGGGACACAGACAGAGGATTTTAAGAGCTGAATCTGCATCTGCTCACATATCTCAGAGGAATCTGGGACAGAGCAGCCTACAGCAAGGAATGTGGCCACATTTAGCCTTGCATGTTTTCTTTCCTTTGGCCTTTCAGAGATCTCAGACAGACTTGTGTTATTATTTGGGTTTGGGTTGGAGGCATCCTCACATTTAGTGGACACAACACGGTGGTAAAATTAATTCTAAAACCAACAAAACATCAACATTAAAAGGTTTATAAAAGTTTATTTCCTAAATCCAGTTATCTAAGGGCCTTAAAAGACACATTTGTGTGTTTTTACTCAGTGAGATCAGAAACCAGTCAGTGATTCTTGGGAAGGATTTATCATCTTTGAAGTAGACCGAGGCGCAGAGTAAAGCCGATGCCTTCACATCACAAGCCCTAAACGTGTTAACGGTCTATAAATCCATCGCTGTGTCTAAGTGAGGAAAAACAGGAGACTATTAATGAAAAGCTACTCTATAATTTATGGCTTACAAGCCTGTAATGGCTTTAATGGTTGCAGACCCATAAAACACAAAAACCTGTCAGCAACAATACGATGTGGATAAGGCCATCGACGTCTGCTTCAGTATCAGTAGGAACTCAGAAGGTCTTTAGAAAATGTCTCGGGGACGGCAGACCTTTGACCTTAACCCTGAGTATAACAAAATGTTAGAACGACCGGTGCTGCAGCTGAACTTTCTCACTATGTCATCATTTTAGTTACAGAACTAACAAAAAACAAAACAAATGACTGGGCTCAGGACAGAGGGATGTCACAGAACGAGACGAAGAGAGAAACAGAGGAAGTTTAGCAAACTTCAAATTCTTCCTTCAGGAGGCAAGAACCACCAAACATGTAGCTACGCTGGGGGGGAGGGGATTCTGTGATGATGTCATCAACATTTGCTATCGCTCACAATTCAAACTCCTCGTCTTTGGCCCTCTTTTATGTTGATTTTATTTCACCGTTTTCATTGGTTCACTCTATCCCTTATTTTACCCATCTGTCCTGTACCAGAATGTTTCACCTATTTTGTCATTTGAATTGCTTTTATTGTTGATTTATTCAATATATTTACCTTCTACTGTACCATGTTCAGCGCCTTGGGCTTCCTGACAGGGTTGCGGAAGGCGCTTTATAAATAAAGCTTTGATTGATTTGATTGATTGATTGATATGTGCGACGTACCGACATCTGATTTGTAGTCATGCTAATTACGAACATTTACAAGCTGATGAATCTCAAAGTACGTGACTGACGTTTCATTTAAATTGAAGTGCGACGTGTGCGATCCAGGGCAAAGTGGATTAGAAAACAGCTGTTTTAGCCCCGCTGTCTTCCACGGACCCATGAGCCGACCAGACAGGGAGAAGACTTAGGCTCCCTATAGCCCAAGGCGACTGTCATGTCCCTGAGCAGAGGTGAGTTCCATCATCTCCTCTCACTAGAACCTGAGTTCATTCTCCGCAGGTGGGGAGCAGAGGGAACTACAGCTGCAGACGATTCCCTAATCAGGAACGCGGGTTTAAAAGGAGGACGGAGACACTTCATTTCGCCGGATGATTGTACCGGTTCAGGTAGCACCAGCCACTCGACCTTGAACCTTGAAACCTGTTTAACTCGTGTTTGGATTATTGACCTTGGATCGTAGTTTCGGATTTGGATATTCCCTTATACCTGTTTGTCTCGCTCAGGATCACCTCATCATCATCTCACCCTCGCTGTCTCCAATTCTGGATTATTCTACACGTCCCGTCCTCCTCCGACGTTCCGGCTCGGATTTCCCTCTGCTGCCTCACTCCTACGACATCTCTCATCCTCTGCTCAGCGTCCTTCCCGGCTACACTTCCTCTCAGCACCGACACCTCAAAGACTCGAGCCGTCTTGGCTCCTCAGCACAGGACTTCCCTGTTGCAGTTCTTAGTTCCGTTTATAATAAAGACATTTTACTTTATTCTTTGGACTTGTGTGATGATTCTGCATGTCTTGGGTTAGGCACTTACCTCGAGCCATGACAGCGTCGATTCCTCAGGCTTTACTTTCTCCTTCTATCTGGATTTAGTTTTTAGTTTTTCACCTTTTGTCACTAGCCTTCAACTTTAATCTGAACACCTTCTCTACCTCTTCTAAGTTCTTATTTGTGTCATAAACAGAAGGAAAAGAATGACATGAGATTATTTTTAACTCTTAGTTTCTGCTGAGTAGATCCATGGAGCCGCCAGACTCATGATTTTATAAACGAAAGTCGGTGCTATGAGACAAAAACACGTTGTCGTGTCTATTTAAATAAACTGGATTGAACTGAACTGAGCTGAGAAAGAAAATAATGCAAGCAACCGGACTGGAGTCAGAAAAAGACGGACTGGGATCTTGACTTGGACATCCTGAGTTCCTGTGTGTATTTGAATGATTTACAGTAACAAACAAACCAAAGCAAGGAAAAGCTCACGTCTGGCATCAAACCAGAATCCCACGCTACAGAAAGTTTCTCACGTGAGACCGGAGTCATCAGCCCTGTTGGGACAACAACCACAGACATGACGGGAGGAAGAAATACGTCCTCATCATGGATCCGACTCTGAGTTCAACACTGAAATGTGATAATTTACCACTACGAAGAATACAGACAGAAACAGCTCAATCATACCT